ACTTCTCCCCTTCCGATCTATCTGAACCCGCCTCCCTCCACCTCCTTTCAGCTCCTAAAACCCCTTAAACCCCGCGCTCTCTCTATCTCTCTCTCTCTCTCTCTCTGTAATGGCTCTTCCCGTTCAATTCTTCTCCCCTCTATCCTACCCTCCGTGCCGTCCCTTCATCTCTCTACGCCGCTTCACGACGCTGAAACTTACGGCCATCGGCCCCGATGGAAAGTTCCGCCCGCTCTCCTCGGATGAAGATCCTCCGGAGGCCCCAGAGGATTCCTCCCATGGCGTCTCCCGCATGGAGCAGTTCCGTATTCAGGTCGCCGCTGCCCGCCGCCGGCAGGAGGAGCAGTTCGAGAAGGACAAGCACCGATTTGTCTCCGCATTTGCCCTTGAAGAAGATCCACCTTCAAACTCCGACGCGGACTCCCAATCATCCTCCGGTGACGATCCTTTTGTTGATATCGACCGCGCCATCGCCCTCAAGCGACAGGAATTCGTCAAACAGGGCCTCCTGCCTCCCAATCCCCCGAAAAATGAGAATAAGGTTCCTCCCCTTGATTCCATTGACGAACTTTTGCCCGAAGAGGTCATCGATCTTGAGGAGATCGAGGAGCTTCACGGGCTTACTTTAATATCCAACGATGAGGTCCATGAAGATCATCCCATCAAAATGGCAGAGAAGGAAGAGAAGGCAGATGATGTAGTTTCTAGTTCATCCTCATTTGAGCTGGATCTTGAAAGTTTGGGCAAGTCCAAGAGCCAGATATTGGAACCTAAATTCAGGATGACGCTTGCCGAGCTCTTGGATGAGAGCCGGATTGTGCCATTGTCTGTTTATGGAAATTTGGATGTGCTGATCGCTGGAATTCAGCATGATCCCAGAGAAGTTAGCTCTGGTGATCTCTTTATTTGCTGTGACCGAGGGAGCGCGGATGGACAAGATTATTTAACGGAAGCAGATAAGAGAGGGGCAGTTGCTGTGGTAGCTGATAAGGTGATAAATTTAGACGAGACAATAGGGTGCAAGGCTCTTGTTGTTGTGGAGGAAACCGATTTTGTGCTGCCAGTTCTTGCTGCTTCCTTCTTCCGTAATCCTTCCAGGACATTGTCGGTGATTGGCGTTACTGGTACGCGCGGTAAAACCTCAACATCATTCTTAATAAAAGCGATGTATGAGGCTATGGGGTTGAGGACCGGAATGATGGGTTCTTTAGGGCATTACATCCATGGGGATAACAAATTGGAGGCTTCCGATTCGACTCCCGATGCTGTTACTGCTCAGAAATTGATGGCAAAGATGGTCCATAATGGCACAGAGGCGGTAATCCTGGAGGCTTCTTCTTATGGTTTGGCTGAAGGAAGATGTGATGAAGTAGATTTTGATATTGCCGTATTCACGAATCTGACGAGAGATTTACATGGATTCAATGGAACCGAGGAGCAGTACAGGAACAGCATGGCAAAGCTGTTTGAGAGGATGATCGATCCTGAACGACACCGGAAGGTTGTGAACATCGATGATCCCAATGCTTCGTATTTCATCTCAAAGGGGAATCCGAATGTTCCTGTTGTGACGTATGCCATGGAGGACAAGAATGCTGCTGTGTATCCTTTGAAATTTGAGCTGTCACTGTTCGAAACACAGGTTTTGATTCAAACTCCAATAGGGATCCTTGAAATATCATCAGGGTTGCTCGGACGGCATAATATATCCAATATTCTTGCAGCTGTTGCAGTTGGTATTGCTGTTGGTTCACCATTAGAGGACATTGTTAGAGGGATTGAGGAAGTGGATGCTGTTCCTGGAAGATGCGAGTTGATAGATGAGGAGCAAGCGTTTGGTGTGATTGTGGATCATGCTCGAACACCAGATGCTTTTTCTAGGCTTTTGGATACTGCAAGGGAGCTGGGACCAAGGAGAATTATCACTGGTATGCACTAATTTAAATTTTAGGAAAATTTACATATATGCCACTCGATCCCTATGTGTTTACATATCTAACTCCCAAACATCAATTTTTACTTAACATACTACCTTACCTTTGCATCCAAACTTGTATTTCACTTTTTAAAAGTTAAGATGGTGGTATTTTTGATGTGATATGAATGATTTGGTTGGTATAAATGTAAAAATTTAAATTTTATTGGTCTGGTTGGTATATAATAGATTAATGTGTTCAAGAACATTTGAATGCTCAGCTAATCTTAAAATGCGTTGTTTATGTTTTTTATAAAAACGCACTTTGATTTACGTTACCTCATGGAACCCAGAACTGGCTGCATACTCATGCCTCTGTAATTCTGTTATGAAATATTAATTCCTGTATAGTTTGATCAGAAATGTAGACACGGGAATGGTAACTAAATACTCATCTACTATGTATTTTGCTTCCATATTTAATATTTATTTTATTGTTTCAGTCATTCATTCATCTAGCCTTTGATAAATTCTCCTCTCTAAGTGATTTTCATCATTTAGCCTTTATTTATTCCTTCTAAAAATATGCACTTTGGCACGTAGTAACATTGAATTTATAGGCTTGGAACAAATGGAATTCCCTATTTTGGGACACAATGCATTTAATTATACTGAATATTTTAATGGACTAAATCATGAAAGAACAACAACCCTACCTTGGCCAACATTGGTAGGTTGCCTCATGCACCACTATGGCTTTCTTATTATGATTATGGAAGTACCAAAAAAAAAAAAAAAAAAGGTTGAGGATTTTTCTCCAATTTGGGACCAAGGAGAATTATCACTGGTATGCACTAATTTAAATTTTAGGAAAATTTACATATATGCCACTCGATCCCTATGTGTTTACATATCTAACTCCCAAACATCAATTTTTACTTAACATACTACCTTACCTTTGCATCCAAACTTGTATTTCATTTTTTAAAAGTTAAAATGGTGGTATGTGATATGAATGATTTGGTTGGTATAAATGTAAAAATTTAAATTTTATCGGTCTGGTTGGTATATAATAGATTAATGTGTTCAAGAACATTTGAATGCTTAGCTAATCTTAAAATGCGTTGTTTATGTTTTTTATAAAAACGCACTTTGATTTACGTTACCTCATGGAACCCAGAACTGGCTGCATACTCATGCCTCTGTAATTCTGTTATGAAATATTAATTCCTGTATAGTTTGATCAGAAATGTAGACACGGGAATGATAACTCATCTACTATGTATTTTGATTTCATTGCTCGTATATCACCATTTAATATTTATCTATTGTTTCAGTCATTCATTCATCTAACCTTTGATAAATTCTCCTCTCTAAGTGATTTTCATCATTTAGCCTTTATTTATTCCTTCTAAAAATATGCACTTTGGCACGTAGTAATATTGAATTTATAGATTGGAAGCAATGGAATTCCCTTTTTTGGGACACAATGCATTAATTATACTGAAAATGCTAATTGACTAAATCATGAAAGAACAACAACCCTACCTTGGCCAACATTGATGGGTTGCCTCATGCACCACTTTGCCTTTCTTATGATGATTATGGAAGTACAAAAATACATATATAAAAAAAAAAAGTTTGAGTATTTATCTCAAATTGGTGTATCTTCTCAGATTGGTAGAATTTCTCATCTCAAAGTTGTTGTGCACCGATACTACTAGGACTTATGAATATTTTCTTTTTTAGAAAAAGTTTATAGTCCATAAATGCTGAGGAAAAGAGTTATAATGGTCCACAAAAGTGGTTGCAGTGGAGTGGAGTAATCTTCCAATAACATGGAAAGAAGATCAATAAGGTTTGCCCATTATAATGGTCGGCTTTGATTCGTTTACTTAATTATCTTTCTTTTTTATTAAATAAATGGTTATATAATCTTATTTCTAAGTAATCTCAAATTGGTAGAGTTTTTCATGCCACGCCGAGGAAAAGTGTTATAATGGTCCACAAAAGTGGTTGCATGGAGTAATCTGACAATAACGTGGAAAGAAGATCCATATGGTTTAACCCATTATAATGGTGGGCTTTGATTCGTTTAGTTAATTAATTTTCTTTTTGTTTAAATAAATGGTTATATAATCTTATTTCTAATAAAGTATATTCGATAAATTAGCAATTTATTTAGTAAAGAAATGAAGAATTAAATTGATTGACAACTCACTAAAGCCTCATTTGTCTAATTAAGCTCCTGTATCTAATAAAGCATTGGTTTTCTTAGTGCCAACAATTCATGCGTTAAAAGGCATACCCATTTCATGTTTAAAAGCTACAGGAAAATGTAAGACTCTTTTAACTTTTGCAGTTTGCTGAAATTACTAAATTTACATTGGCCAAAGTTCTAATTGCCGTGATTAATTCACGTGCGGCATCTCAAAGTGCCATCTTTCTTTCCTTATGAGATATAGATAATAGGTTTGTTTCTTAAGCCTACGGTCATAACACAAATAGTAGTGGATCTGAAAGTCAGGAAAATTGTGTGAATGCCTTAAAATTGCAGCGCAGTCTATATCATAACCCTAAATGAAATGAGATTGTAAAAATATTCCGTTATAATTGTTCGAGGAAGTTACATGAATGACTTAAAATATTGTAGCATGCCACTGATAAAACTCATAAATTACTTTTCATGGCAAAGTCAATTATTAAAACTTACTGGTCTTGTCTGTTGGTACAATTTTGTTTTTTGCAGTTATTGGTTGTTGTGGTGAAGGAGAAAGAGGCAAAAGGCCAGTTATGACAAAAATTGCAACCGATAGAAGTGATGTAGTTATGTTGACCTCTGACAATCCAAAGAATGAAGATCCACGTATGTGATATTGATTTAAAATCTTCTAGTGGCATTTACATACATACCACACAAATCTTATATATTTGCATATCTAGCGCCTAAACTTTGATAATTTAACATGCATACCACTCAAACTGTTAACATCAAATAAAAATCACCACTATTATTAACTTTTTAAAAGTAAAATGTACCTTTTAGTGCATAGGTTTATAACACCACAGTGTTATAAATGTAAGCAGCACACTTTAGGTGTTAGATAAGTAAATAAACAAGAATTGTGTGGTATGTATGTAAATTTTCCCATCCCACCCTCCCCTCCTCCCTCCCGAAAGACCCTTCCCTTGAGTTTCTCTACTCTTTTTCTTAATGCATTAATAAACAGTTCCCATAGCTAATAGATAACAAGTGTTGATTCTAACTCGTTTGTTCTATCGAATTGTAAGTTTTTTTTTTCTCTGAAACTGTTGCAGTTGATATTTTGGATGACATGTTGTCTGGTGTTGGATGGAGTATGCAAGATTATTTGAAATATGGCGAAAATGATTACTACCCGCCTCTACCTAATGGCCACAGGCTTTTCTTACATGATATTCGGAGAGTAGCTGTCCGGGCTGCTGTTGCTATGGGTGAGGAGGGTGATATAGTTGTAAGTATCTTCCTATGAATTTGAGATTTGTTTCTTCAATGTCTGGTTAAATAACATATTCACATGGAATAATTACAAGTGATATAAGGAAAGAAGTTTAGTTTTTGCTTGATCACTAGCAATTACTTACTAAGATGTTACTTTACAAGTGAATTAATTAGTCATCTGATAACCTTAGTTCTGATTTGTTTTTGTATTATAGTATGGCCAATGCCTTTTTTTGATATTGTTTAGTCAGTACTCAAAGGAGATTATTGTTGAATATATTTTTTTCTGGAAACAATCCATGTAATAGCTATCATAGTTTTGATGTTGCTAACGAGAGAATTATAATCGTGTTTCTAGAACTTGGCTATTTATCTTATGATAAATTTCACGAGTATTCATCATGCAGTACTCAATAAGCAGCAATTCTCAAGGCGTCGGTATGCTGGATCCTTCTGAGTTTCTGCTTGGATCCTTCTGAGTTTCTGCTATGACGAAGACCAGTTTTAACATTTTGAGCCATTCACATAGCCGAGTTTCCATTCAGAAAATAAACACATGCAGTTTGTTTGCGCTTTTTTTTTTCTCATTAAGATGTGAGGTCCCAATGATCTTATTCGAAACAAGAAGAAAGCAAGTATTAGGACATGAATCTTAATAACTGTCTATTTGAAGTGCCTTCTATTTTCTAGAATATGGTGCATTTTGCTATACTGCTGATTTTTTCAAAATTTTTCGTTTTCTTTAAATTTTATGATAATCATATATGGTTAATTTTTTGCTGAATTTATACCCCGGTTTCAAGGTTGTTGCTGGCAAGGGTGATGAGACATATCAAATAGAAGGTGACAAGAAAGATTTCTTTGATGATAGAGAAGAATGTAGAGAAGCATTGCATTATGTTGATGAATTGCATCAAGCTGGGATAGACACAAGTGAATTCCCTTGGAGGTATAATTTAATATCTTCATGGGCTCTTTTTCGTGCATTGAAATGCATCTCCATAGTAATGTCTTCTTCATTCATAGAATATTTTGGGACTCACCGCATATTCCGACTTGACCTGAGAGTTTGGAGTATCGAGGTGGGCAAAGATGGTCGGATGAAATTCGGAATTTAACATAATTTCTACATACATAACAATTTAAAATAAACTGTTTTCTTTTACATATAAGACTTTAAATATAATGATGGAGCCACTAAACTAGAAAGAACATGAAATTGTTTACAGATAAACATAGTACTTTTGAATAAAATGCATCTAAACCATACTAAACTTCTATGATAACTATGTGCGTATCTATCAAATGGTGCTTCATGTCTATTGTAAATGAAACCTTTTCTATTATCCATTCAGTTCGCTGAGAAATTTCCTGAAAAACAGCAATCAGCTGATAGTAATAAGTTATATATAAATATTTAATATAGTGGTTAAATAATTGTTTTAAGCTACAATAGCTTAACGTAAAATGAAACAATGTACTGCCAATTGTCATATCTAGGTTGTAAAGAAATCAGAGAGCTTAATTCTTTTTTTCAATAATAATCATGTTCATAAAGACTGTTTATCAGTCAAAACTATGAAAAATAAATGAATCAAAACATTCAACTTAACAGTAGGGTTATGAACTTGAACTTAGCTTATAGCATCATAACTTATATTTTAGTATATATTTGATAGATGTCTTAAGTGCCCCATCTAAACATAAACCTAACTCATAACTAGTTGATCTATTCTTATCGAGGTGTTGGGGCATAACTCTTGTATTCACTATTGTTTGTGATAGAAAAGAGCTTGACGTGGGGCTATAGGGGCCGGTTCGCAAGGGGGTGCTGCCGCACATGCTTCCCTTTCCTTTCCTTTTCCTCTTTCCTCTTCCCTTCTGTCCTTTTCCTCCCTTTCCTCTCATTTCCTCCCTTTCCTTTCTTTTCCTATGTTTGGAGTTCAGAAATACTATTTGTGTTTTCATTGTGATTTGAGTTAACTCCGGTATCAGAACCTAACTCGATACTAATTAGTACATCTCCCATCGGCATAGTAGGACATTGCTCATTCATCTACTTTTATCTATTGTGGAAAGTATAAAGTGATAAATGCACTGTTGCATTAGCATCCCTTACTTGTACTATAAGGGAGTAATCAATCTTTCAACATGCATATGAAAGCTATTTTACACTTCATTTCTTTTGCTTTCTTGTCACCATACAATATTTGTCTATATATTAAAGGGACATTAACTTAAACAGTTAAAATATAGCATAGAGAAATGCATTTCATTTATAACAAGATGAAGGATCATTTGTATGAGAGGTGTAAACTACTTTATATATAATTTTCTACCAACAATACTTATTGTATGTTTATAGAATATTGGAAACATAAACATATTAGCTAAATGCATATGCTTTGGTGAAAGGAAATATTACTTCAAGCCAAAAATTAGATTACCCACATTATAATCACCTTAAAGGCCTGACCTAAGAAGAACTAGTTCTGCTTTCCTTGTGCCTTATCCCACGCTTCCACTTAATATAACAATCTATAAATAATAGAGTTGGGCATATCACTGGAGCAGTATGGCTGACTAAAATTAATCTGCACTTTTAGTTCTTCCAATCATCTAGCCATCCTCTTAAATTTTATCTTAAAGTAGAACTTATACACCAATAATAATAATAATAATAATAATAATAATAATAATTTATTATTATTGTTGTTGTTATTGTTATTTTCAACTAAACTCATGGTCTTTTTAAGGAAACATCTTGTTAATTTTAACGTGACCTCTAATATCAAATTAGAAATATTATAAGATAGAAAATTTCCATTTTTATAAGATAGAAACATGTAGATTATAAAATCTATATTTTAATTATTGTGGTCATAACATTAGTTATTAATCTATAATAAAAAGTTTGCATTAATTTTTTAAGCCTCCTTTCAAAGCTTGATCTAGTTTATCCATTTTTTCTCTTCCTCATAGATTTAGGATAGTATGCAAATTGAAAAGGAATCTCTTTATTTTTTGTTTATAATTTAAGATTCCTTTTAAATTTCTTCTTGAAAATCCTAACATAAATTTTTTTCAAAACTTCATCTCAAGATGAAAATGAAATGCATAATATTGAGATAGGGTTTATCTTTACCAAACCTCAAGAAGCCAAAGAAGTTATCTCTGGCTCTCTTGCCTCATTTCTCTCTCCTCTCTGCCTTCAGCTCTTTCACCCTTTCTGTTTTTAGCTTTCTATTTAATTTCACTCGTTTTTTTTAACAATTTCACCAAGCAGTGCTGCTTAACATCTAATGGACACATGTTTGTATGATAAACAAACGCATATTTACATTTCTTTTAAATGTAATCAACTATTATATTAATATATTTTCTCATTTTACCAATAGTTGAAATTATAAATGTAAACTTCTTTCAAAGTTCGGTCATTTATTTGGAATAATTCAGTATTTCATTTAAACACATTAATGGAATGTAAAAATTATACTTAGAATTTAACTAACTAATAATTTGTTTTTTTGTTATTGATTATCATCAATCATATTAGCTATACATTTATTGAAGGGTTTGATGGAGAATAATAAGGAGGATCTACAGTTGATTTTTATTGATTTAGAAAAAGCTTACAATAAGTTTCCAAGAGATCTCCTTTGGAGAATTCTTGAGAAAAAAGGCATTGATATGACTTATATTCAAGTCATTAAAGATACATATACTAGAGTTGTTACTTGTGTTCGAACTAAAGGAGGATTGACCAAATATTTTCCTATTTCTGTTGGATTATATCAGGGATCAGCTTTAAGCCCATATCTTTTTGCTTTAGTTATTGATGGTCTTACTGGACATTTACAGGAGGATGTACCTTGGTGTATGCTTTTTGCTGATGATATCCTTCTCATGGATAAGACCGAGAGAAAAGGCCCAAAAAAAAATTGAATTATGGAGGTCTACATTGGAGTCTAAAGGTCTTCATTTGAGTAGAACTAAAACTAAGTACATGGAATGTAATTTTAGCAGTAGTAGCTCTAGTGGCCAAAGTGCAACTTTGGGTGATCAAATTATTAAAAGGCGTGAACGATTTAGATATCTCGGGTCTATTGTTCAAAACGATGGTGATATAGATGGGGATGTTAATAGTAGAATTCAAGTTGGTTGGTTGAAGTGGAGGAATGCTTCGGGATTTTTGTGTGATAGAAAAGTACAACTTAGATTGAAAGGAAAATTTTATAAGATGGTGGTGAGACCTGCAATGCTCTATGGCGCTGAATGTTGACCCTTAAAGGAGAAGCATAATACTAAGTTAATTGTTGCCAAGATGAGAATGATTAGGTGGATGAGTGACTTTACACTTAGAGACAAAACGTGAAATGAATGTCTATGATAGGGTTGGTGTAGCTCTAGTGACGGACAAAATTAAAGAAAAGTGACTTAGCTCTAGTGACGGACAAAATTAGAGAAAGGCGTCTTAGATGGTTTGGCACATTAAACGTCGACCATCGGATGATCTGATAAGGAGAGTAGATGTTTTAGATTTGACTTATGTTAAGAAAGGCAGAGGTAGACCCAGGAAGACTTGGGCTTATTGTATAAAAAATGATCTTAATTTATTAGAACTTAATGAAAATATGACACTAAATAGGATGCAATGGAAAAAAAAAGATTCATGTAGCCGACCCCACGTAGTGGGATTAAGGATTTGTTATTGTTGTTGTTTTTGTTGATTATCATCAATCTGAAGCATAATTTGTTGGGTCTTTTCACCGGACTTCATCTTTGAATGCTGATTTATGCTTTGTATTGCATAAAAGCTCGAGTGATGAGGATCAAATTGACTCTTCTTATGTGAAGTGAGCTAGCAACTTTTTTTCTTTCAAATTTGTTTATTCTTATCTTAACTTTATGAAGTTGTTTGATGAGAATATAAATAAAAAAAGAGAAAACTACATACATAGCACTCGAAACATTTCTATTTACAAAACTAGCATTGTGCCACTTTTTAAAATACTGAACCAATGCATTTATGCATGCGAGTACCAAATCTTTAAGAATTTGATAAACCATTTCTATCTTACGAAACTAGCAATGTCTTTCTAATAATTTGTTTTCTTTTTATCTTCTTTTTTTTTCACTCTATCTATTGTCTCGTTCTTATGCTTATGCAGATTGCAACAGTTCACACATTTATTCCTTTTGGAAGATTTACAAACGTACAAAATTCTCATGTATTTACATATTTTACACCTAAACTTCAATTTTTACGTACATCACCGCTTTACATATGCATCAAAAGGTGTATTTCACTTTTTAAAACTTAAAATGGTGGTGTTTTTGACGTGATATGAAAGTTTTGGGTGGTATAAATGTAAAAAAAAAACAAGGTATTAGATGTGTAATAACATATGAGTTGGGTTCTCCATATTTAAATTTCCATTTATTTAATTATGAAGCTGCTAAATGTCTGGCGCCATCTCATTATTTCAGGTTGCCAGAAAGCCATTGATGGTTCATTTGAAGAAACTTTAGGCTTTGTACATATTCAATGTATAGACGATCAGTTCTCATTAGCTCTCCGTTCTTCTCAAAAAAAAAAGCAAATCAGGTTCGATTGTTGAACTTTTCTATCAAGCGCCAAATTACAACCCTTCTAATCTCTCATTTTTCAGCTCAAATCTGAAAAATTGAACTTTTTTGGGGTTCTTTTTGATCTTTTTGTGATTTGAAAGACAATATATTATTCATTGTGATTTTAATTTGCTGACAACTCCAGAAATTAGGAGGGGGAGAAAAAGGTAGCCAAACTCAAATTAGTTGAAGCTCGACGCTTTTTCATTCCTATCGTAATTTGCCCTAATAGAGACTATTCATGGAAAAGAAACGACTCAACTCGACGAGCACATAGTAAGTAGCTAATGACTCAAACTTGACTCGAATTATCTTTTACAAGTATTTTTAACTATTAACCCTCTAACATATTTTGGTATAATTTAAGAATTGTTGAGTGCTAGTGTTCTAACTTTTTGACTATTTATATTGCTCCTTAAGATGGTTGCAATTTTGAATGTTATTTAGGCTTCAAATGTCAATTGGTTTTCTATGTTGTGTTATGTTGTTTTGAACTTTGTTGTATGTGAACATTTTGTTGACTGTTTGGGTTGTTTTAGTGCCATAAGTGTTGAATTAATAATAAATTAACTTATAGCAGTTGATATCTATTCAAATTTTTTAGACGGTGAGTTTCAAGAATGGGATCTTTCGATCAGTGCGGAAAAGCTTAACTATCAGACCATCATCTCATCTGCATTCATAACTACTATTTATAATAGGTATACTTACATACATAACTCGCAAAACATTGATATTTATAAAATTCAGCACTCGGTGTGATGTTTTTGAACTGTAAAATCAATATATTACGTGTGCCACGATCAAGCCATTCAGAATTTGATAAAAGAAAAATATGGGTTGGGTTTGTATCATAAATTTTGATATTATATTGAGAATTTGAAAATAGATGAAAAAGGGTACTAGATTTGTAAATAGTAATGTTTCGGGTGAGCAATGAGTTTTTAGATATTTTTTATATACATTTAATGGTTGAATTATTTAATTGTTTATTATTATATATATTTCATGCATAGGCTAATGACACCAAATTTTTATAAAAGCAAATATTAAATTTTAGATGATAGATATGTAAATAGATACAAATTGGAGGGGCATGCAAGTAAATTTCTCATTAAATTTATCCTATAGTAAATTCAATTTATTGATATTATTAAAAATTCAATTAAATTTTTTGTAATTATATATATCTTCTACCAAAACAAACCATGCATAGCCTAAAATTATGCTATAATTATGCTGCAATTATTAAAATTACAAGTTAAATGGTATTTTGCACATTACAATTTGGATGATATTTTTGTAAATATAAGGCATGTTTTTTCATAAATATATAGAACTTCAATTCACATACATATCACAGAAGTGTAATTTTTTACATGCGCCCCCATTAAACAATGTATTTTACATTTTGGAAGCTAAATTAGTGATTTCTTATGTGAAATTAAAAGAAAAAATGGCATAAATGTAAGAAATAAATTTTGGTGTTGTATATATAAATAGTCACATGTGATGTAAAAGATTTGGACGATAAAAAATGTAAAAAAGCAAAAGTAAATATGTAAATATATAGAAATTTGATGGTATGCATGTAAATGTGCCTAAAAGAAAAAGCTAGCTTACCCAACAAATCTCATATATCATTGATTAGAATATTGTATCAAAACTTTATTCGATGGGTTAATTTCCCCCCCTTCATTTTACAAGGCCTCCTTTTCTCAGCCCTACACATGGCAACATCACAGATCTTGCACAAACAATGAAAACCATCCTAAGATCTCTAGGTCAGGACTCTGCTAATCATTAGGGTTTAGTGCAGTTAAATCCCATGTACACGACGATCGTTGGGCGAACGGGGATGAAGATCGAGAGACGGGCTTAACTTAACATGATCCCTCAGAATATGATTTGAAATATTATCCACAAACAATGATGATCTTTTCTCATGTGTTTCATAAAGATCATACCTTTGACTTCCAAGTATTTCTGTATCGGCGGTTATTCGCTCCCGCATGGCAACGGAGCTTTGGAGCATTCCGTTGAAGAGGTCGGACCGGGACGAATGATGCGAATGGGGATCGTTCATCGTCAGTCTTGAGGTTGGAAGGCTTTCGTAGAGGTAAACCGGCGGCTTCGTGTGGTTGAAAGGGAGTGCGCCGTTGCCGCCGGTGAGTGGTGTCGAAGCGCCGGACATGGTTCGAGGGCTTGATATGGGGGAAGGGGACATCCTTCCATTGATGTGTTGCGGGGAGCTTGAAAATAACAGAGGACTTCCGATCGGAGATACCGGGCATGACATGTTTCTCATGTGTACGTCACTGCAAATATTGATTGAAGCAAGAAACATTTGCATTGGCTTCATGATTTTTGAAACAAACATAAAACAGTGTTTTGATGCACCACAATGCTCAGTATCAACCACACACGAATAACTGAAAATTCAATAAATTTATTTCATGACAGAATGAGAATCATACTGGTTATGCATCTGGTGTATCAAGTGCAACAAACTGTGGAAATCTACATACATATCATACAAGTTTTATGTATTTACTTATCTGACACCCAAAGTTTGATATTTACATTTCACACCTTGGTATCATAAACCTATGCACTAAGATGTGTATTTCAATTTTATAAAGATGGTGATGATATTTTTGATCATATATTAAATATTTGAGTGGCATGCATGTAAATATAAATGTTTAGATGCTAGATATATAAATACATAAAAATTATGTGGTATGTATGTAACCGGCCCAAGAAATTTTTTAGATGTCCCTAGACTCAACTAATGGATAGCCCAACTGGTTCTAATCACACCGCTTTGCATAGCAGATGTATAATTGTTCTTCGCATGCTTCTTCCTCATGAATGAGACAAGTCGTCTCTCTCTCTCTCTCTCTCTCTCTCATCTTTATAAAAGTGCAATACAAATAATATTAGGGGTCCATTTGTTTCGACACAAGTGCTTTCAAGTAGTTGGAGCTACGTTTCACTAGTCAGTATCAATGAAATAAGCTAAAGTGATGTTAGTTCGTTTTGCATTCCCTCATTTCTGTAGAACTATGTTCCAGTTTTGCTTGAAAAGCAATAAATTTCATTTTTACCCTTCATCCGAGTTGTTTGGTTTCGTTATTCAATTATCATAAATAAAAGTAATGTTCTAATTTCTAACTCAGCTTCTTCCTATCTTGATTCAAGAGTTTCGAAACTATGTTCCAATCACTTCCAAGCACTTAAATCAAAGCAAATTGGGCTTTGTAAAGGTAATTGGAGTAGAATCTATAGAAAATAAGATTGCTGAAGATAGGCTTTGTGATTTGAACATATACAATGAATGATAGAAGTTTTATCCTTTAGCCGTGTGTCGGTCAACTTTTTCGATTGATAGATTATCTGAAAATATAGATTTATGAAAATAATTTTTGAGATTTAATTTAAATATAAAGCCAAGAATTTTTTAGAGTGTGGCCACAAACTACTAATTTCAAAAATGCCTTCAACATTTTTTTATCCAAACTTGGGATTGGCATTGATTTTTTTCTTTTATCTTTTTTTGTAATGAATTTTATGAAAATATGACACTAAATAGGATGCAATGAAGAAAAATGATTCATGTAGCCGACCCCATTTAGTGGGATAAAGGTTTTGTTGTTGTTTTTTTTTTTATATTATTTTAATATAAAACTGATAAATACATGCTGACAAAAGATATATAAAAAAGGAACATTACTTGAAACATTTGAATGATCATGTTATTATCAACATTTTAATAATATCATAAAAAATAATGCATAAAAATTCTTTAATATTTTTGAGCCCAATATGCTAAACACCGTATGAATTGCAGTTCAAAAAGATGTTTGAAGAATAAATTTAATGCCACATGCAACATGCAAAACTCAGCAAAAATGAACAAAAATGAGAATTTTTGAAGTCATCACCAAATAGTTAGGATGTGGTTCATTATGATGCTGATGAAACACGATGGTGGTGAAATTGAACTAATCCCAATTGCTTTGTTTATTATAATTTAATTTCAATACTTCTATAAGCTTAAGAATGATAACCTTTGAAAAACTTTCAGTTGTAATACATAGGGTTATAAAACGAGTACACGGAAACCGACAATAGTTTATACCTTGCAATTGCTGATATTTTTGAACTTCTTAACTGATGCATTGCCTGTCCATCCATGTCCAAAGAGCAAAGATTTCTAACTTGGCCTACGCACTGGAATTTAATAGCATCAATAAAATAATTCAAAATCATTAAATAAAGTAAAAAACAAAATTTAAATAAGTTTTTAACAAAGATAATTTGCAAAACATACCCACACAGCTTGATATGTTCTAGGTAAGAAAGTAAAAAAAATAGGCCCAAAGAATAAAAGCAAATTCATTTTTTTTACACCTAAGAAAACCATAAAACAAAAGACTCGATTTCTTTTTGATGTGTTCCACGCTTCAAACATGATTCTCACATTTATCTGTATATCACCAAAATATTTTGCTTCTACAAGACTTACTAAACAAAATTAAGTTGCATTTAATCATGAACAAATGAAAAACGTAGAAAAGCAGCTTCATCAAGTTATAAACATCAATTATAAAGCTTTTACTCCCTTGCTCTCCACACCAACGATATCCTGTCTACGTACATCACAAGACTCCTCTAAGAAACTTCACTGACTTTGCCCACTTCAATGCACAGACAAAAACTATTGTTGGACCATCAAAAACCATCCACTGGAAAGCCAACAAACAGAAAATGCAGTTACAACTAGTGGTGTAAACGACTCAAGCCAAGCTCAAGTTACATCTGTCAAAATGCAAGCTTGAGCAGCTGGGCTCACAAGGATGGCACCAAACTCGTGAGCCGACATGCGAGATTGAGCCGAAAATAAAATTATTATTAGATCTCACCAGAGAAGGCATCGATGGATGTAAAAGGAGTGTTACGACATCTCATCGGAGCCAGCTCACGAGTCGACAAGCCAAGTCAAGACAAGCTTAAAATCGAGCTCGCTTAATAAACAAGCTTGAGTTTCAGCTAGAGCTAGTGGGTTGATAAGTACAACTTGGGAGCTCATTAACGAGTCAAGCTTGAGCCGGTTCAACTCACTTAAACTCCTACTTTCAACAGATGAGATATGGAGAATAATAAAATCTTCAGAATTTCCTTGAAACTTTCATAACATTAAACAAGGAAAACAATTCAAGAGGATTAAGAAATTTCAGCATCATAAAAGTAGAGAAGAAAATTGAGTTGAAATATGCTGCTTGATTTGGGTGGCATGGAATGTAAAACATAATAATGTGAGGCGGGGAGGGGACTCTAAACTGTTTCGGTTCAGGTGGGGGAGGGTCGGTCAGCCCTCTCTCTAGGGCTAGGGTTGTCGCTCACTCCTAATAGCAACAAGAGTATTTTTATCTATTTGTTTGTATTTAGGTTTAGGTCCTTCATTGATTATAAATGTGTTGTTGTTTATTGTATTATGGGTCTTTTGCTCAAGTGAGTTTTGTGAGGGCATGTGCACCCTTTATGGTCCCCAGATGGGGACAAGTATCCACAACATTGATGTTGGCAACTGTATCTCCCTATTGTTGGTGGTGAGTGTCTCGGATTGTTTTTTTGGTTGTTCTTGTTGAATCTCCAACCCCTTTCTCTGATATCATTTGGGATCAAAACTAACCCAACTCTAATTCCATCCTGAGGTACCAAAATCCTCCCAAACCTAAATCCGGCAAAACATAGCCAAATCTTGGTCTAACCTTAATTGCCATGGGCTTGATTTTTAAAATCAGAAACCTTAAATATTTTTTTTGCACCGTGAATCAGCCCATCCATGCTCTAACCTCATAAATCTAAAACACACCAAATCATAGCCAAATCTTGACCTAAACGTAATTTAAATCGGCCTCATACACACCCACCCAACCATAGCCAAATCTTGACCTAAACCTAATCCCTCGTTGCTGATTTTCAAAGTTAGCAACCCTAAATATTTTTTCAGCACCCTAAATCAGCCCCATACTCTTTCACCTTCCAAACTAAAACCCACCTAGCCAAAGACAAATCTTAAACTAACCCTAATTCCTCCTTAACGATTTTCAAAATTAACAACCCTAAATATTTTCTGCACCCTAAATCAGTCTCATTTACCATATATATATGTTTGGATGATATATATTTTACAAATCATAGAAAATTATATAAATTTTGAGGTTTCATTAAAAGGAGATTTTAATTACAAGATAAAAGGAAAAATGTGCAAATGAACCATAACAATTGAACCCACTTACTATGGGATATTATCTACTACAGTTCAACCCAAATCATATTAAGTGAAACCTTATAGTTTCAAACTTATTGGTGTAAATTTCCAACTAGTTGCACATTCCATGCGTGCTCCAACAAGAACAAACTAAACTTAGAAACTCCTGAAAGAAACTTTATTTGTTACACAAGAAGAGGTCTTGTTGTTCAAGAGTTCTGCTTTATTCTAATAAGGTGTTTAACAATCTCCCCACTTAAGTAATTTATATTCTTATGAGTAACATTATGCATAGCCTAGAGGTATCCAATTACTAGATAAGACTAGAAATAGCTTTTACAAGTTTAAGTGGTGGCTCCAAATCTCCACCAATACGATGTAAAATTTAAGGATCAACTAAATAACACTTGGTGATTCTCTGATATCCTATACCTGATGGGGCGATTGGATGAAAGTGAGATATGATCTTTAGGGAACTAGTCCTAAGGAATGACTTCCATTAATTAGGCTTCTAAGAAGGTAGGCTTATAGGGTGAAAAGGATGTAGGAATGAACTAAATCACACATAAAAGTGAAAAGAGTGTGGGTTCGATAATAAAAGTAAAGAATTAGACACAATATACTGTGTATCTTTTGGTGTAATAAATAGATTTTCGGTTAGGAATTCCTTAAGCATGTTTATGTTAGAATTTTTGGCATGTGTGAACTTCTGAGAAGCAGTACCAAGAAGAATTAGATCACTAGTTTCAACTTAGTATGTGGGATGGGGTGTTACAATTGGCATTAGAGCCAGATCTCCACTAAGATATGTAGAACAATGATAAACAAAGATAAAGCAAGTGGGCCTATGACATTCTAGATTTGATGAAGAGAAAATAAGTGAAGGTCACGGTAGACTCCCAAACAAGGAGCAACTTCATGCAACTTCTAGGATGGTAAATCCCACATCTAAAAAGTAGGAAAACTTATTAGACTGCAAATAAAATAAAATAAAATAAATCATATGCCCAATATAATAGGTAAATTTTACTAGGAGTTTTGTTAAGAAGTTCTAAAGTTAAGCATACTCATGTTGGAGCACTCCTAGGATAAGTGAGCTCCTAACATATTCCACCAAGAAGAATGGAATCTTGAGCTCATCTAAAGCATAGGCAAGGTTGGGCCAACGCAGATAATACCTCTCAGTACGTAGATTAGGTTGTTAAATGAATTTAAAAAAGAGTTCCTAAACAAATGGCCTCACTTCTTCAACTTCAATAATGCAAAATACAAATTAAAACAATTACATCTATTGATTCCTTTGCAACCTAAAGTTTGTATGGCATTGACTAAATGAACTTGAGCATATTTATATTAGAATATTTTTGGCATTCCAGACTAAAAAAATCGAAGCAAGAAAACATCTCATCTCGCATTTGTGAATATGCTTCTATCATATCTAATTTAGTGTATACACATTCAGATGCCAAATGGCTTTCAAAAAAGTCAAATATAACAAATATACTTAGCATAAGTGAACCCTAGAGCCCATCCCATGTTGCCTTCTCTAGGCCTCAAAGCTCACATTCACGCGTGCTACAACCACTCTCACATTGCCACAATGCTATTGATGTACACACCATCATGTGACCAATTGTTTGATACGTGAGTCTTCCATCATGTGTGTGCATGAGGTTTCCTATGAGTCTCCATTGCTAATAGTTAGGGCTCACTTCCCTTCTCTCGCGTTGCATTTTGATATATAGATGCTCGTCGAGTTACCATGGACTAGCTTTGATGCCCATTCCTTATGGCGTCAGCATCTCATTTGCTAACAACCACTCCGACACCTAGGGAAACCCTCATTTTACCTCATCTTCAATTTTTTATTGAGTGTTGTTTTTCTCTCGTATTCATTGTCATAACCAATCTCTTCCATTGGTCCCATATTAGAGATCTTAAACCACCAATAGTTATTTGGTTCCTCATCACACATTAGCATTTCATTGTACTATACCTCCTCCCACAACGACTGCGCCCAAGATTTTAGTTGAACCAACTACCTAGATGGCCCCTCCTGTATATCCTCTCCATTGGTTTCTATGCCTCCTACTACACAAACTTTACATTTATTTACTAATGATGTTTGTGGTTTATATCCCATATTAGGGATCTTCTACCATCCAGAGTTCTTTAATTTCTCATCACACATTACCATTTCATCGTATTGTATTTCTTCCCACAATGACTGCTCCCAGGATTTTGGTTGATCCCCCATGGAGTTTACCACCTATCCAGATGGAGCCTCCTATGTATCCTCTTCATTCATTTCTATACCTCCTACTACACAAACTCTACATTTATTTACTAATGATGTTTGTGGTTTATATCCCATATTCGGGATCTTCTACCATCCAGAGTTCTTTAACTTTTCATCACAAATTATCATTTCATAGTATTCTATTTCTTCCCACAATGACTGCTCCCAGGATTTTGGTTGAACTCCCATGGAGTTCACCACCTACCCAGATGGACCCTCCGATGTATCATCTTCATTCATTTCTATACCTCCTACTACACAACCTCTACTTTTATTTAGTAATGACTTTTGTGGTTCAAATGCTGACAAATTCATTTCTATACCTCCTATTACACACCCTCTACTTTTATTTACTATGATTTTGTGGTTCGAATGCTGGTGAATTTCACTCACCACCACACATACACACACAACAATGCTCCAACAAACATAAATATCATCTAATCAAAGTAAATTTTCACTTCTTACAATGCTCATTTTATATTAATGGTTTCCAAATACACATGCTAAAATGACCCCCTATTATGTTCTATGCAACCTAATAGCACTCCTATTTGGATCTCATTTTTAATTCTTCGTCTGCATTACTTTAGTTAATCTACATTATTCTCTTTGGCTACTAATTTTTGAAATTCTTCTAAGGTGAATGCCACAATAGTACATCTTTCTAGACCCTCTGCAAACAATGTTTAGATGAAATTGGATGCTACATTCTATTTTGATAAGGAAAGAATATTAGATCCTCGTCAATTGAGTATTAGGATAAGGTTAAATTTAAGAAAATCCCATCAGTTGTGCTTGCCATATGCATAAATTCTCATACTACATGAAAGTTTATCCTTAACTGGGGAATTATAAATATCAAGCGCACAACTTTCCACCAAAAACACATATCCAACATCATACCCAATTGTTGAATGACCTTTATTAATTTAGATATATGCTAAAAAAATGGATCCATGTTTAAACTCTCTTTTAGAGATTTTGACTGATTTCACTACTTCCTAATCCCTTAGTTTTGGTCACTTTGTCATGTGTTGATATTATAATTGAAAACAATTCTTAATTTCATAAAAAACCTCAATTCCATCCTATTTATAAACACAACTAAGATAATATAACTTAGCAACTATCTGATTTTAATTTGAGCTATTATAATGTCGATTGATTAATGGATAAAAGATTCCAAAAAAGATAAGACATCAACATAAAATCTATTGGCACTCACCATATTTGCTAGGTTTCAAGGTAGAAAATCCAAATGCATAATTTTGTGATTTTTATCACCTAAAGAATATTTAATCATTGATCTTTGTCACCACTTTTTGTGTTTTTGTAATTTTCCTTTTTTTTTTCCTTTGCGGATTGGGTTTGCGGGTGGGGGAAAATGTCATCCACGACAATCAATGAATCTTTGTTACGCTACATCCACAGAAAACCTGCTACAAAATCCATGTTGACATCAACCCAAGCAGCCTCTGGTACTGGTAATAGGGTATACAACCCCGTACTTTGATCTATGGTTTTAGCTAGGTCACAAACTATGCATTGCTTGATGTATCGCTCCACATCTCTTATCATATTCTAGGCCAGAATCAATATTCCTTCACCAATGTGAGGATCTTGTCTCTGCCAAAGTAACATGCTAGTAAACACAACCTGCTTTGCTGGAATAGATAACCATAATCTCTGTGGTACGATCCCGTGGACCTCTCCTGACATTATTCCCAAATTTTCCTGAAATCCTCATCTGCCTCGTACAGTTCATTTACCACCTCAATCCGATGAATCTGGTTTGCATGGTGGTGATCAGCAAATGGTGATGGCTCAAAGCATCTACTACCTTATTCTGACTTCCTACATTATGCTTAAGCATGAACCGAAACGATGCTAAGAACTCAACCCAAGAAGCACTTCCGCCCTTCAACTTGCTTTGGCTATTCAAGAACTTCAGGGCCTCATGATCCATAAACAAAATGAACTCACTCGTCAGCACTTAGATACTTCACTGGTTAAGTGCTCTCATAATAGCATAAAACTCTTTGTCATATGTTCATTACTTTATTTGAAACTCATTTAACTTCTCATTGAAGAAGGTCATGGGGTGCCCCTTAAGTGCTCTCATAATAGCATAAAACTCTGTCATATGTTCATTACTTTATTTGAAACTCATTTAACTTCTCATTGAAGAAGGTCATGGGGTGCCCCCAGTGGCTCAATGCAGCTCTGATCCCCAAGTTAGAAGCATTGCACTCCCCTCATACAACTGTTGAAATCTGGTAAAACTAACATTGTGAGTCTGTCCTTCTGGCATGTGAATTTTTATCTTTATTTGTCACGCGAACCTACTTTCGGTGGAGTGGGGTTTGCTTTATCAATTATTGCGCTTAGTGGTTGTACCTATTTTGTCTTTATGCTCAGTCACTACTGATTGAGCCTGGTGTGTTTTTCCTATAAAAAGCGTTGTATTTGGAAGGAGCAGACACACAAGAAATCATCTTGAAGCCTACTCCTTCAATTCTAAGTCTCGAGTTCTTTGTAAGATCTTTGTTCAGTAGTTAATAAAATATCTTGTTTTGTTTTACATTCTTGGCAAAAGTTCTCTATGACCCCAATCCAACAATCTAAGGGCAAACTTCTCCCTTGGTATCAGAACCATGTTGGGCTAATCCTTGCACTAGATGGAGGTGTTTTTCCTTATACCCATGACATTTAAAGTACTTTCTGACTAGAACGATACCGGGCATGCTACTCTCCTCATGCTTCTCCCACTCTACATGTTTTGTCATTTCCCTGCCCAGTTTTCCTCACTCCTTTAGGCATGCTCCTGCTGATGCCTCCAGTTGTAGGGGGTTGTCTGAATGAAGGCGGGTATCTCTATTATTTTTGTTGTCTCTCCACTTTTAGTGCTAAAGTCTACACATTTCTCAATGTGCAATAAGCTTGTAGCTGGATCAATTGTCGGACTTCAATCCTCCCAAATTCTTAGCTATTGTAAGCTCATTTCTATCCGCTAGTACACTACAGTTTAAGCTACATAAATTATTTTGTGTACTCCACTGATAGTTCCTTCTATTACAAGTATTGGAGCTTCAAGAAGAGATGCTTGCGATAGTGTGCAGATTGTTGCTAGATCATCTTCATTTTCTCCCAAGCAATTTTGTCTCGTCCTTCTCTCATTCTTTCCCTTTTTGGGTTCTCCAACCACAAAGAGACATTCTTCTTCAGCTTGATGGTGACGAGTTTCACTCTTCTATCACCAGGCACCTCCTTGTATTCAAAAATTGTCTTAACAATCTACTTCCACTCAATGAAATCATTTGGATTCATTCTCCCATCTAAGTATGGTAGGTCCACCTTAACTCCAAGATCTTTGTGGCCCCTAGCAGGCACTTCCTCTCTAGACCTCTGCTAATAATGAATCCCAAAATGCCTCAATCGATCCTCCTCTTAATTGAATTCATCCCTACACAAAGTATTCAGATATTTTTCTCACTCCTTAGATCTCATTATTACGATCAAAGATGAACCCTCATTGGGCCCTTTCCTCAATGGCATGGAGTCCTTGTACTGCTTGGTGACATAGTTGTTATATCTCATCCATAGTAAACTCCTAATCAGGTTCCGGCAATTGTCTCCTCGGTGGCCCTCTCAGTTAAGCGGCAATTCCCAAGCAAGGAAGGATTGTGTGGCCCTCTCCTCCCTTAGGTTGAACCGATTCGTGCACCGCAAAGTCGGTTCAGGCAGCTTATGGCTGTCACGTCCCACATCCTGTGCGGGAGACGCCCCCGCGTCACCACCTTCCAACCTTTCTTAAAAAGCCCCATAAGTAGAAGATATCTAATGATACTAAACAACTGGCACAGATCACACTTCTAATTACATTGAAAAAAGTTAAACCAGGTTGAATCTTATCAGTCCATACTCCTGATCTTGATGATCGGAAGGTGTGGAAGACAGCGTAACAAGTGGAAGTAAGTAATTAGGAAATTAAAGAACAAAGCAGCAAGTTCCTTGAACATTTTTGCTTTTAACAAGAAAAACTAGAAGCTCATTAATCAAATGTTTTATTCACGTTGGCAGACAATCATAGGAAACAAAGAACTCTTTTAATCCTAGAGTCTATAAAAGTACCAATTCGGTCCCCATCCTCATTTAATATGGGATGAGAGTCCCCAAGGATGACTATTTCAGCCCCAATTTAAAGAGTATGGGGAATAATTGAAAACTTTTATAGACTCTGGACAAAAATGGCACAATGTAAATAATCAGTGGACTATTTTGGCACTTTATTGCATGGAAGGTAGAGAAATTACAGGTTTTTGTAAACTAAAGCTAAGCTACCCGGACAAATAAAATCCTTGAAATTAAAGTTCAAAATATTCAAAATAGTACCTTTGAATTTGAAACATTTGCGATGACTGAAGGTTGTTCAGGAGGGCTAAAACCAAGAGTTGATTTTTCCAGTTGGGAGGCATTTTTGATGAATGGGTGCTGCAATAGCTCAGCTGCTGAAGGGCGTTTAGATGGATCACGTTGTAAGCATTGCCTTATAAAATCCTTTCCTTCCTCTGAAAGATGATCAGGTATCGTTGGAAGTTCTTTACTATTCCCAATTTTGAACATAGCTGCAATCTTTACACCATAATATGAAAATATTAGCACAAATCTAACGGAACCCAGAAAACAGAGAAATTGGAATTTACAATATAAAATTGGAAGATTTATATATATACCACTCATTTCTTATGTATTTACATATCTAACACCTAAACTTCAACTTTTAAATATATGCCACCATGCCTATGCATGAAAAAGGTGTATTTCACTTTTTAAAAGTTAAAATAGTGGTGTAAATATAAAAGGTAAAGTTTATGTGTTAGATATTTAAATACATAGGAATCGGGTTGAATGTATGTAAATGCCCCTATAAAACTTGAAGCCGGTGCTTTTAGATTGGTGATAGCATGTCGTACCACCGAAATTTCCAAACAATCAAGATTTAACAAATTATGATATTTCAACTAAAGAAAAAATGTTAGAAGTTATTAGTGTTTATTTCTTTCCTATTCGGATATTTCCTAGTTTATGTATTTTCTTGTTTATGACTTTCCTTTTATCTCCATGTAGTTATTAGGAATTAATTTAATCCTAGAGATTTGGGTGTTATATCTTTCTTATTTTATAACCCTTGCACCTTGTATTTATACTGCTTTTGATATCAATAAAATCATCATGTTCAATTCTCCAAACCTACATGGTATCAGAGCAACTGATCCTACCCTACTCGGTCGAAAACCCTTCCCTACAGGCCCCTCTAACAAAAAATTGCAGCCCTTCTCCCGTGATTTTTCCTGCAACTCCCACTTCTCCCGTGAGATTTCCCTGCAGCACGAACTTCTTCCGCGAGGCTCCTTCCCCTAAAGTTTTTTCAGTCGTCGGTCACACTTCTACCTGCCAGCTCTCTTTCTAGAATTGTTGGAACTCCCTCTTGCAGGCCCTCCAGCTGTCGGACCTCCCTCCTGCCCTACAAGCCCTATTTTGTTGTTAGTTGCGCAAGGGACAGTTTATGTCTATGTGCCGACACCTAAACCTTTCTCCAACCTACAAAGTATTTGCTACTTCTATGACGAATCATTGCCCCCCCATCCACTACAGGAGTTGCTTTGGCTGACTCGTCCTGGAAAGTTGTTGCCATGGATGAGATGAATGTTATTCCCCGGGGGAAGAAAGCGATGGTGTCGGTAGATTTTCAGCACCAAGTTTAACTCTGACACTTTGAACGCAGCCAAGCACAGTTGGTCGTCAAAGGATATTCTCAAACTTATGGAGTTGACTATGAGGAATTAGTTGCTTTTGTTGCCAAACTCAATACCATTCGGACCCTATTATCATTAACAATGAATCTGGATTGACCCTTCAATCGGACATCAAGAATGTTGTGCTTAATGCTGACATTTTTTTCCCGTGGATAAACGTGTCGATTGCAAAAGTTCCTCTATGGACTGAAGCAATCCCCACTGGCCTTGCTCGACAAGTTCACGCAGGTGGTAGTAGATCATAGGTTCTCTCAGGCTCAATCTGATTATACACTATTTTTTCAGCATTCATCCAGTGGTCGTATTGCTATCCTCATCATCTATGTCGATGATATTGTGCTCACAGGTGATGATCTGTCGACCTTAGAGTCACTCACAAAGGCATCCTCGCCGCATCTTTTGAAATGAAGGAATTGAGGTCTCTCTGGTATTTCTTAGGCATAGAAGTAGCACGGTCCTCTCAGAGCATTTGCCTTTCTCATTGCAAATATGTGATGGACCCATGCACCGACACCATCCTTCTCTCGTGCAAACCGGTTGCTGTCCCAATGGACCCACTTGAGAAATTATTGGATGTTCTCAATGTCGTTCCAATGAACAAAACCTACTACCAACACCCCGTTGGTAAACTCAGCTACCTCACACATGCTCGCTCGGACATTTGTCATACCGTATCATTAGTCGGTTTATGCATGAACCCTACAAGCAACATCTCATTGCAGTTTATTGGATCCTCCACTACTTCAAAAAAAAAAAAAAATTGGGCTTAGTTGGGCTTAGGTTTGTCATTCACTCGTCACAACTCCCGCTCGGTTGTGGTTTATACTGATATTGATTAGGTTGGGTCCATCCATGATGGACAATTTATCTCAGGTTATTGCTCCTTCGTATGAGGGAATCTTGTCACTTGGAAAAATAAAGCACAATGTGATTGCACGTAGTAGTATTGAAGATGGGTTTTGCTCTATGGATTTGGGGGTGTGTGAAGCCCTCTGGTTGTGCATTATGGTCACTGAGTTATGCATGTCGGTTACTGCTTCTCTGCAGTTATTTTTTGACAATAAATCCACCTTTAGCATTGCTCATAATCCAGCTCAACGTGATCGTACTAAGCATGTGGGGAATGATCGTCACTTTATCAAGGAGAAACTTGATTTTGGAGAGATTTGTGTTCCGTTCATTCAATCTACTGAACGACTAGTTGATATTCTCACAAAGAATCATCCTCGCACATTGTTTATCAAGGAGAAACTTTGTCACACCATGATTATCGTCAGTCAACACCAAACTTGAGAAAACTTGCTTAAGAATGTTGAAATGTGCATGTGTGAATATTGCAGATCACTAAAATATCAAAATTGTTTTTTTATCAGAAAAGAACATGTTCAATATAACATAAGACTAGTGAAATGTGCACAAGACTGGTGAAATGTGCACGTAACTCGGTAAAGCTAGCTTAAGATTATTGAAAAATGGTTAGTTTCAAGACTAAACCCTCTAGTTATGTTCAATCAATCCCAACCATTCAGAGTGCCTCACGTGAATGAGAAGTGGTGAACTACAAGGAGCAGTTAAGCCTCAACTATGAAGAAACGTCCCATACATACACGCATGTAATATGCATTAACGGAGGCATGTTTCTATGTAGACCAAAAATGTAACATAAAATAAAAGATGGATAAAAGACCGTCAGTTTTTGGCCAAAATTGAACTCTAGTAACAATTAATGAGTCAATTCAATTATGAATCAAAACATAATGGACTAGCTTATAACTAGGCGTGACTCCAGTCAAGATCAGTCAGCCCAAATGGCTTTAAGTTAAACTTAATCCATGAATGAACTGCTAGAAGATTGGATCTGCACTTTAAATTATATATAAAATTATGTCATAAACAATACGCAAAAAAATAAAATTCAAAAAATTTAAATATTACATTTAAAAAAATACCTAAGAGAGTATAACTAGGAAGCTTATGTGCATGATTCATCTTATTCTTTTTTTAAAATTAACTCTGTTCATTAAACCATTCAATGGATACAAAGATGTAATCAACAGCAAAAACTGAATGGATTGGCTAGATAGAGAATTTTAGTTTAGAAATAGAGCAAAGTGAATAAAAATCAACTCCCTCTCAAGTTACAATTTCAATATAAGGGATCCTGATTTTAGCATGATCGAAGAATCCCTCCTCACTAGTTCCAACTAGCATACTTTATTTGATATAATAGGAAAAGAAACAGGTGGGCTTGATAGAATCAACCTCTTAAAAGACTACATCTTCAATTTCTGGCGTGCTCTATACGGAAATACAGATACATAAACCTATGGAAAATCTAACTAACCTAGGACAGCTTATTACAACATTACAACACACTAAAAATATGAGATTGTAGAATAATATTGATTCAAACCTTGTCAGACATAGGAATTCTTTGCATTCCTTTTTTGGGGAAAAACCGAAAATTTATACTCCTTAAATTAAATAATAGATGTCAATCATAACCAACTTGGATACCATGTTTTTGGAATTGTTGCAAATTATAAGTTAATGTCAACATTGATTGACACCATGTCCTCTTCAAGACTCATGGCTACAATTGCCAATTACAATGGAGTCAGTTGGAGCCTCTTCCACGAGCTCAGCTGGGACTAAGAGTATCTTGTCCCCCTCAACTAGAAGCGGGTTCTCCTCGTTTATGTCCTCGTCATCTTCAATGTTTGCAGTGTCTTACCCAACTTTTTGATGACGTCCTGTTCGGTGAAGTATATCACTCCCTTGGTTGTACATTCTGCTCATGTTCAAATTTGTGGTTGCAACATTTTTGGTTGTGACAAACTTGTGGATTTATTTCACTTGGTAGTGGCTAGAAGGGGTGACTTGGTGTTGTGCTCTTTCAATTTCATAAGCTAGAACCCGCAATTTTTAGCGGTAGTAAGTTGGTAAGAACCGACGAGGTGTTTCCCGTTTTATCTTCATACCTTCTCGTTCCACCCTTCGACCTTTCGGATCACGGTCGATGGTAGCCTCCCATTGGATTTCATCTTTCATGTCCGTAATCCAATTTCTAAGTTGGCGGATCTCTCGCAGTATCTCCTCCCAGGAAGACGTAAGCATGTATCGTAATGGTGGCATGGCTAGGGTTTAGAGTTAGGAGGTGAGAGGGCTAAAATTTAATTTAGGGTTACTGATTTTGAAAATCAGCAAGAGGTGAGGGTTAGGTTAAAGTTTTGGCTATATGATTGGGAATAGAAAAGAAAAAAATTTATGAGGGTGGATTGAGAAAGGGCGGATGCTAGAAAACCTAAGATATGACTAGGATTGGACTAATTCTGATACTAAATGATATCAGAGTTAACTCAAATCATAAATAAATTGACCACCATTATTGTTGAATTTTAAATAGGTTACAAATAAAAGACGCTTAACAATCAAAACAATAACAGCACAAACAATAAAAGACACTCTAGGGTGATTACGAGGGTAGTGGCTGGCTTGTAGACAAATGGTAGGAAGGCTGGTTGGGGTGGGTGGTTGTAGGTGGGGAGAGAGCAAGATATGGCAGCAGTTTGAGGGTATGGGAGGGAGTCCAGGCAGCAGGTTGGAAGGAATACGGGTGATTGAGATAGCAGCAGGTGCAGTTGGAGAGCTTTGCGGCACAGTGGGAAAGGCATGGGGGAAAGGCTGTGGCACAACTGGCAGGAAGGGAAAGTTGCGGCACAGCTTGGCAGAGAGGGGGAAAGGTTGCGGCGATTGTGGGGCCAGAGTCGACTGGCTGCAGGGTGACAGGAAGAAGAGATCTGGTATGAGTTATGGGGACAACAGGGAGCGAGGAGGTAGCGAATATTACGTCACAGCAGGAGGGTGTATAGGATGACGCTGCAGGTTTGGGAAAAAGGGGAAGATGCGGCTGCAGCAGGTGGATGGGAGGAGCGGTGGCACTTAACCTGGACGGGAGAGGAAGGTTGGGGCTCTGGCTGCAGGAAAATTATTGGGTTGCTGCCTTCGATGTTCTACAGCAGGGTACAGCAATGGCAGCAGTGGAGGAGGAGGTTGTGGAGGATGGAATGATCGAGGATAAACACCACTTCAAAGCGAGATACAGCCAGAGCACCAATTATCCTTGGATACAACCCTAGAAAGAGAAAACAGGATGTCGGCGGCTGCCCTCACAAATTGAAATCAGAAAATAACATAGGTTGCCTTCCTCACAAATTGAAATAAAAAAATAACATAAGCTGAATACTAAGGCATAAAAAAAATATAAATAGGAGAGGGATGAGCCGGAAATGAAAAAAGAAGAGGGGAAAATTCCAGCGTAATGAAAAACGTGAGTGAAAATCTCATCATTAAAATATTTAGTTGCAGCATTTTTACATTATCATAATTAAAAAAATATAGGATATTAACTCCTAGAGTGATGAAATAGTATTTTTTTTTCCTATTAAAAATAAAAGAATATTTTTTTAAAAAGGGTGTATGCTTTAATGAAACAGAAATTTATTTTTGATCTCATCTTAAGAGAGAGAAAACTGAATGATTTTTTAAATCAAGAAATTGTTTATTCAAAAAACCATCACAAACTTAATTTTTTTATTGATGAATCCATTCATAGAAAACAAGAATATAGTTGAAGAAAAAATAATTTAAATAGTAAACAGCCATATGAACATCTATAAACCTTACACAGGATCATGATCGTGCCAAAAAAGTGATGAAGGTAACATGGAAAAAATAAAAATAAAATCCTTGGACAGAGATGCTTAATAAAATATCATCTCATGGAAAAGGATCTAAGTGTTCTCTAAAAAACCGTGACAAACTAATTATGTCTCAACCATGCACCTCCTTTTCAAAAAGAATTTGATTCCTCAATGCACCCATCGGACAAATTAAAGATGTTCAATCATGTACTAACCATCTCATCATGTCTTGTTATGTCGAAGTGTATGACTTTCAATTCCTAGGATATGATGCAGAAAATTAAGATAGTTGTGTGACTCAATTAGAAAAGATAAAATGAGGAATGATTATATGAAAGGTGTAGTTAAAGTAAATCAATTAACGATAAGGTGATTTAAAATAGACTTAGCAGCTTTGGAAATACAATGAATGGGTAGAAAATGCACCCCTATGATTAGGCAGAAAAATTTATGTCAGCGAATGAGGGGAAAAAAAGAATAATAATTGAGAAAATATGGATAGAAGTTCAAAATGACTTACAAAGCATGTTTGAGACCTTGGAAGGTACTTAGCAAGAACAGATGAAAAATAACAATTTAAAATTTGATATCGAATTGTTGGGATGACTAGTGAAGATGATGATGAATTAACACATTCACGTGATCCAAACACATAGGGCAGACCTTGAAAAATATCATAAAAAGGTAATATCTCCACCACCAAGTGAATTAATTATGAAAATCGAAAGACTAAGCGAAGCCAAACAAAATCTCCATTAAACGCACAAAACAGTTGGTGCAAACTATGAAATACAACAATGAAAACAACAAGAAGTCTTTATACCACTAAGTGAGGTCGGCTACAGGAATCATTTCCTAATGAGTGTCATATTTTCATTTAATTCTGATAAATTAAGATCATTTTTATACCACATGCCCAGCTCTTTTTAAGTTTAGTAGTCTTCCTCTACCTTTCTTAACATAAGTCAAATCTAAAGCATCTACTCTACTAATTGGGCCATCAGATGGTTTTAATGTGACCAAACCATCTAAGGCGACTCTCTCTAATCTTGTCTGCACTGGAGCTACTCCAACCCTTTAATGAATATACTCGTTTTGCATTTTGTCTCAAAGTGTAAAGCCACTCATCCACCCGAGCATTCTCATCTCAGCAACACTGAATTTAATTTTACGCTTCTCTTTTGCAGGTAACATTTTGCGACATAAAACATTACAGGTCTCACCTCCATCTTATAAAATTTTCCTTTAGGTATAAGAGGGAAATATCCACAAACTATGAAATGCCAAAAAAATGTCCACAAAGATATGCCAGTAGTCTTGTAAAATTGCAGGAAAAGCAAAATGGCAAGGAGAGAATTCATCGTGTAATTATGCAAGTTCATGCTCACCCACTAGTTGTGTTCAGAGTTTTAACTCTAAAAGAAACAAGTCATCTATTGAGCACATTTCAAAAACTGAATAAACCCTTACCTTCAATAAATTTCTACTAATGACCAATTAATTCGACTCGATTAAGTATATCAAGACAGATTACCCCAAAGATTTGAAACAGCGACCTTAGCAGGCAGAAGTAATGTAAAATTAATCCAAAGCAAGATTTCTTTTGGGGGAACAATTTTAGACTGAAGAAAAAGACAATTCATATAAATTTTTAAAACATTGAAACGCAAAGTAATAAGCTCCAAAAGGCTTAAATACCAACCCCTTCATACTGACTCCATGGAGGTTTGGAAGTAGCCATCTCCAATACTGTGCATCCAAGGCTCCATATATCCACAGCGAGATTGCAGCCATTCATGTTTTTTATCACCTGAAATAATAAATGAAAAAAAGAAGAAAAGTAGAACTAATGTCTTAATGTCTCTAATGTTATGAAAGAGTTGAGGCAAAAGTACCTCAGGTGCCATCCAGTAAGGACTACCTCTGAATGATAAGGGACATGATTGGCCAGTAATCTGAAGACATAAAAAGTAAAATAACTAAGAATTACTCTTTCAAGTCAGATTTAAAATCCAATCTCCGTTAAAAATTGTAAAAGCTTATAAAGAAAATTCTAGTTTACCAAATTTAGCTTTGAATTTCTATAATCTGTAAGTTTTCTGAAACCTGCGTACTCAAATGTTTAACACTGCCGATAGTTTATTAATTTAGCATATGCTAATGAAAACCATGGCCGAAGACCCTCATGCACCATGCCATGCAGGGAATAGCTAATAAACATTCACTTTCCTAGTCCTAAGCGTCTTGAGGGAATATGTGAGTTGAATTTCAAAATAAGCCAACGATACAAGAAAATTAAAAACCTAATTTTCTAGAGGAAGCGAAATATTATGAATTCTATGGTAATGGACTAGGAATCTGAAAACTAATAGACACTGAGATATTCTACCTGGACTCTATTAAGAGCGGTGAAGGCAAATGGTCAGCGAGAAAAATAAAATAAAACATATCCATAACGAAGTTCATCACCAGCCTTATGACAAAGAATCTAAGAATTCTCATTAAGATAAGGGAATTTAAAAAAAAAAAATTGAACAAACTAAACTAACCTATAAAAGCTTTTAATATGGCATCGAACCCAACTTTTTCGTAAAAAAAAAAAATCTTGTGCACGGCATTGCATTATCATTTAAAAATCTATTGTCTTGTCTATTCCTAAAAGAGTGAGTTTTGGCTTGTTTAGTTTTGTTTAGCTAAAATTAGTCGACTTCAATGAGAAGATTATGGGCTATACTCATGTAAAAATCTCTCCTTTATTTGTGTGTAAGGTTCAATTTCATTAAAATATTTTTGTGCCTTTTTGTCAATAAACTCCTCCAAATGATGAAAAAAAGTTTCTTTTTTAACATACAACTTAGGCAACTAAGTATATGATATTCAATGTATTAAAATATTAGAATATAAATATGTAGATTTTTGTATTAGTTCTTTGATTTGCTTTTATTTACTTTTTTTCCCTGGATTATGTTTTTTTATTTGTTTCCTTACTAGTAGATCCTGTAATGGGAATTTATACCCTTTTCTTTGCATCAATAAGAATCAACTTAGGTTTTATTCTAACATGCTATAAGAGACATGGTCCTAACCTAGTTGTAGGGCTCTCCTTGCAGCCAGCTAAATCTGATTTCAGCCGCCAGAACTTCTGCCTCACTGTCATTATTTCAGGTTCCTACAGGTTTGTCGTAGGTTCTCTGTCCAGATTCCAGGTTTGCCGCAGGTTCCTGCACTTCTTCAGTTTTTCGCAGGTTCCCACACTACCACAGTAGGATGTTGCAAGTTCACGCACTAAGGATTTTACAGACCCATTGGCCAGAATTCCCACAAATTCCTGCAATGCTTCAGGCTTCCCTTTATTCTATTCAGGTTTTGCCATCAAGAACCTCTGTTTTGGTCACCTGGGGCACGCTCCAGCCAGCCAGATCCAGCAGGAACCCTTCTAGAGGCAATATTGCTCCAAGCAGCCAAAACATTACCATGTCTCGACGACCTAACATCTCATTTGGCTCAATCAAAGTCACGACAGACTCCTCTAGCGCTAATTCGTCATCAGAAGATGTTTTTGATTCCACCGGAGAATAAATTCTAACATTTGTTCCTCTGTAGATCAGATGATAGAAAAAGTACATTAACTTTTTTATTACAACCCATAAACTAAACGACAGTAACTTTCTCCAATAGTGTCAATCTATGTCTTTGTTCATCAAAGAGTGGGAATTTCGGTCATTTCACAATTGTGATTCGTGAATCTCGAAAGACCAGCCCAGCATATGGAGTTTAGGAAGTGGAGAATCCCATGGTAAAGTCAAGGCGGATCAACTCCATGGAGACTTTTAGTGCTCGATCATATATATTCCTTTCTTTCGTTAGTGCCCTCTGGGCGGTAATTCGTGATATTTGAGAACTCCAGATGAATGGAATGCGACCTACATTATCACTATAATTGGGAATCTCCGGTCTGCCTATCTCTCTTCCAGAAAATTGTCGAAAAGAATCGCATGTTCCAATTTTTTACAGATCTCAACAAAGATCTTGACGAAGTCTGGGGCTATATCCTTGGTCAAAATCCTCTTCCTTCTACTCGCGGTGCTTTCATTGACATTTGTCACGAAGTGAGCAAGAGACTTGTCATGCTTGGTGCGTTCACTTCGTCCGACAAAGTATCTGTCTTGATCTCTAACAGTGCTCAACCTCGGACTGGTCATCCCACTTATGACTGTTGTCACAAGCCCAACCACATGTGATAAATGTTAGAAGCTCCACAAGTAACTTGCATCCAAACCTTTGACCAAATCTTTCGTTGTCAATGGTCTCGCTAATGCTTCTGAATCCAATACAGTACAGTCGACCTCTACCACAACAATCTAGAATACTCCAATTCTCTTAGTCAAATGAAACATTTAATTAAGCTGCTTGAATCCAGTCAGCTCTCCTCCTACCCGTCAACTTTTCATATTCGTTAAGGTATCAATCCTATGACACTCACTTCTTCTACCCTTTCTAGTCCATGGATCATTGATTCAGATGTCACGGGCAACATGACTGGAAGCTCTCAAGCATTCTCGACATATCATCCTTACTCAGAGAAAGATACTATTAAAATTGTTTATGACTCCCAAAGTTTCATTACTGATGAAGGGTTTGTAGTTTTAACAACAGGTCTAACTTTGGAATCTATGTTATGTTGAAGTGGGAATGTTTATCTGTCAGTAAGTTAGCATATGACATTGATTGTGTTGCTTATTTTTCCTCTAATGTTTTTCTTTCAGGATCGTTGTTTGAGGATGATGATTGGAGCTGCTAAGCGGGTAGGCGAGCTCTAGTTCTTCTGAGAGAAAAGTTGGGAGAACGAGGACACTCCACCCATTAGTTGTAGTTTCTCATGTCCATTGAATGCTCTATTATGTTGTTTCACTATTGTTTAGGTCATCTTAGTTTCCAATATCTAAAAATTTTGTATTTGTTAATTTTTACTAATAAAAATCCTTTAACTTTCAAATGTGAAACCTGACAGTTAGCTAAACATCATCGTATTCTTTATCCGTCCCACAATTACACACATTCCCCTCATTTTTTTCTTATTCACAGTGACTTATGGGGACTCTCGCACTCTTAGCTACACCAATAAACAGTGATTTCTTGATTGATGACCACATTCAAATGATGTTGGTCTATATTTTAAAAGATAAATCTTAACATGTTATCACTTTCAAAAATTTTCACATCGTCATTTTGGCCCAATTCAAAACTCTTATTCAAGTCTTTTGAACTGACAATAGGCATGAATTTTTTAACTCTATATTAGGAGAATTCTTGATAGGTAAGAGTAGCCTTCATCATAGTCCGTGTACCAACACTCAGCAAAATGGGATAACTGAGAGAAAAACCCGATAGCTCCTCAACATTTTTCGCTCCATTATATTTCACTCTACTGTCCCAAAATGTTTGTGATATGATTTCATTCTTACTGCCACTTATCTCATCAATAGAGTTCCCTAAAAAATTCACAACTTTTGTACCCCTTTAGCTATCTTGAGATTGTGCTTTCCTAACAATCAATTCTTCTTTACTTCAAATCCAAAAAGTTTTGAATGCACGGCCATTGTTCGGAACACGAGCCCAACTCGGAGTGAAATTGATCCCTGATCCATAAAATGTATTTCCCTTTGACACTCTGCCACTCAAAAGAGGTATCGGTATCTTGACCCTACTGCAAATAAGGCCTATGTGAGTGTTAATGTATCCTTCTTCGAAATTATTCCCTACTTTCCTAATTCAACCTCCAATTAGGAGGAGCTAGAATTCTTAGACATTGTTCCATACCTTACCCCTGTGAATGTTCCCCCACCTCACCTACCATCGATAAACTCTATGTTCCTTTGGTTCCACTCACTTCTCCTACACCCAAGGAGCCATCTGTCCCTTTGGTCCCACCACCACATCCTCCCACTCTCTATGTATACACTCAACGCACTCGTTCTGGTGCACCTACTCTGAAGCTTGTTAAACCCTTAATGGACCCTGAATCCCCTTCGGACGACATACCAACACTGCTCCTACTCCAAATGAGGAAGTCAGTTCCTCTAGTAAGGTACACAATCATACAAGCTCTCTTTATCACTTGGAAAACTATGTCTCCCTTCGCAAATTCTCGCCAACCTACAGAGCATTTGCTACCGCTTTGACTAATCATCAGCTTTCATCCACTATTGAGGTTGTCTTAGCACACCCAGCATGAAAAGTTGCAGTCATGGAGAAAATGAATGTCTTCAGCGGAACCATACATGAGACTTTGTTGATCTTTCTCGAAGCAAAAAAGCAAGAGGATGTCGATGACTTTTTAGCATCAAGTTCAAATCTGATGGATTATTTGAACGCAACAAGGCACGGTTAGTCGCCAAAAGGTACTCACAAACCTACAAAGTTGACTATAAAAATAAATTTGCTCCAGTTGCTAAATTAAACATCATTCAGGTACTCTTATCCCTTGCAAAGAATCTAGATTGACCCTGATTCTAGCTTGAAGTCAAAAAATGTGTTCCTGAATGGCAATCATATAGAGGAGGTATGCATGGCTCTTCCTCTAGGCATTGACTCCACTGCCTCCCAGGCGCAAGTATGTAGACTACGAAAATCCTTTTATGAATTGAAGTAATCACCACGGGAATGGTTCAAGAAATTCACAAAGAAGATGGTAGGCCATGGATTCACTCAAGCTATATCGAACCACACTTTCTTCTTTCATCATTCCTCCAACAACTAGGTAGCTATCATTATTGTCTATGTTGACGATATTGTTCTCACAGGTAATGATCTACCAACATTGGAGTCCCTAAAAAGCATTTTTCCTTCTTCCTTTGAAAAGAAGGATTTGGGATCTCTCCAGTACTTCTTAGGCATGGAAGTTACTCGGTCATCTCAGGGTATTTGAAAATCTCAACGAAAATGTGAATGACCT